TAACAACAATAACTCACTATATTTGCTCGACTCGCAGCAACAGCTTCCTGAAATGTCCAATATATACATATCCCAAAAAAGCATAATAAACAAAATAAAAAGACTTTATATAAAACAGAGTGCTGGACCTGACAATGTGTCCCCTATATTCTTAATTAAGTGTGCAAATTCAATATCCTACCCCTTACAACTAATTTATAATACTTCACTTAAGACAGGGAGTTTTCCCAATAAGTGGAAAGAAGCAAGAATAGTACCTATTTACAAAGATGGAAAAAAAGAACTTGTATCTAATTATCGACCTATATCAATCCTCTCTACCGTATCAAAGATTTTTGAATCACTTGTCCACCCATTCATATTCAATCATGTTAAAGATCACTTACATCCTTGGCAACATGGTTTTATGCCTAAGAAGTCTACTAATACTAATTTGCTCAATTATGTTTCCAATCTTATTGATTCGGTTGACAAAAAACTTCAAGTAGATGTTATATATACTGATTTTGCCAAGGCATTTGATAAGGTGGACCATAATATACTTGTTAAAAAACTCGCATATTTTGGCATTTCTGATACATTTTTAAGCTGGTGCAAATCCTATCTCTCTAAACGTAATGCCAGAGTAGCAATTGATGGCGAGTGTTCAGATTCTTTCAATGCTGTTTCTGGTGTTCCACAGGCATCAAATTTAGGGCCTTTATTCTTTATGCTATTCTATTATTGTTAGTAATGTATTTAAAAATTGTCAGGTTTATTTGTTCGCAAATGATTTAAAAATAGCTAAAGTTATAAAGCAAGAATCTGACGTATTAGAACTACAAGCGAATAGACTTGTAAAATTGTGCGAAACAAATCGAATGCTGCTCAATGCGGGTAAATCTAGTTTAATTAAATTCACAAGAAAAAATAATCCATTAATGAGTTCTTACAATGTTTTGGGTAAAAACCTGAAGGAAACCAATTCCATTCGAGACCTGGGCGTGATATTTGATAGCAAATTATGATTCGATAAACATATTAATTCTATAGTGACTTCTTCTTTTAGGCTGCTCGGATTTGTTCTTAGACAGTCTAAAGATTTCAAAAAGGTATCAACAATACTTCAACTGTACAACAGCTTGGTCCGTAGCAAACTTGAATATTGTTGTCAAGTATGGTCTCCCGCTTACAAACATCACATTGAAAGAATCGAACGTGTTCAAAAAAGACTCATTAAACACCTAATCTTTCGTTTTAAGGCGTCAAGTCACAGTGAGTGCTACAAAAATAAACTCGCTTACTTTAGGATGAAACCACTGGCAGTTCGTAGATCTCTTCTTGATTTGAAATTTCTTTATAAAGTTTTCAATGGTAAAATTGATGACAGTGAGCTGTTGAGCAGATTTAATATTAATGTACCTCGGAGACCTCCTCGCAACCCATGTCCTTTTTTTAAGACTGACAACACTCGAATAAAACTTGGACAGAATTCTCCAATAACACGTATATCACGCGTATACAATGTATGTGTAAAAACATAGCAACACTGAACATTGGTTATGACGGGCTCACACTTTTTATGAAAAAAATGTAACGACTGTTTAGAAAATTAATTATTCACTAACTTTATGCCAAACTTAACTTTTATTTATGTTACAAAAACTATTAACTTTTTTTTGTTCGGAAAACTTATTTTTGTTCCAACTACCATTAAAATAGGCAAATTATAAACACTGCTATTGTTTTAGAATGATGTATTCTCCTATAATTGGTAGTACATAGTAATTTATAGATGTAAAGCATGTGTTAGAAGTAATTTAATAAGTACAACTGTTGGAGATCCATACAAATAAATAAGTAAACAGATAAGCGAACAAAATATCTGGACCTGGCTCATTAGGAGACCGACATGTGGGGTGGTCGGCCGGCCGAAATTATTCCTGTAGTCGTCTCTGCGAATGGGCTAATCCCAGTCAGCCTCTCGGGCCATCTGAGGCGACTGGGACTCCGTGACGGACCGCTCCGGGCTCAAGCAGAAGGCAGTGCTCCTCGATACCACCCGCATCGTCCGTCGGTTTCTTTCACTTTCCTCCTAACCCTCGGCCGTTTGGTATCCCCTGCCGAGGGCTTCCATCTGGTTGGATCTTTATTCATTTATGTATTTTTTGTATTTATTTTATTTTGTTGATATTTATGTATATTTATCTTTTCATTTTAATTTATAATTATATATTTATTCAACCCAACCAGATGAGTAAACTATACAGATATCCCAATATAATAATAATATTGCATATATACCTTTGGCATACTCAGGTGGACTCAGACTGAACTTAACGCCCTGGATAGAAAAGTCCGCACTACTATGACGTCCCATAGGATGCATCATCCGAGATCATCGGTAATGAGGCTGTACTTGCCGCGAAAGCATGGTGGGCGTGGCTTTTTGAGCGCGCTCACCATTCATAATCGCGAAATGTGCAGCCGTAATTACTTCCTGGCGAGATCGGATGATCCATTCTATAAGGACGTCGATTTTTGTGATAAAGGACTTACCCCTCTATCCTCAGCCAACGAGCAATGGCAAGACCCGGCAGAGCAGAGCATTTCCGAGGGAGGTTCTACAAGGCTCTACATGAGCCTTTCGTAGACACAGTAGCCTCCCTCCACTGGCTACGCTTTGGTGACCGCTTCGGGGAAACCGAGGGTTTTGTCTGTGCAATACAGAATCAGGTTATTAAGGCCAACAACTATCGGAGATATATCCTAAAGGATGGCACCGTCGACATTTGTCGAGCTTGTCGCTACCCCGGTGAGTCACTTAGTACTTGCACAGGCACAACCTAGTAGCCAGAATTCTACATCAGGAGCTCGCTCTGAAATAAGGTCTCGTGGATCGGAAACTGCCGTATTACAAGTACTTGCCGGAAGCCGTGCTCGAAAATGATCGCGCCTGGCTCTACTGGGATCGGGCCATCATCACGGACAGGACTGTTGTTGCGAATAAGCCTGATATTGTGCTGATGGACCGGGCACAGTCAAGGATATTTTTGGTCGACATTACCATTCCGTATGACGAGAACCTCGTGAAAGCCGAAACAGATAAACGAACAAAATATCTGGACCTGGTTCATGAGGTGACCGACATGTGGGGTGGTCTGCCGACTGAAATTATTCCTGTAGTCGTTTCTGCAAACGGGCTAATCCCAGTCAGCCTCTCAGGTCATCTGAAGAGACTGGGACTCCGTGACGGACCGCTCTAGGCTCAAATGCAGAAGGCGGTGCTCCTCGATACCGCCCGCATCGTCCGCCGGTTTCTCTCCCTTTCCCCCTAACCCTCGGCCGTCTCGTCTCCCCTGCCGAGGGCCTCCATCTGGTTGGGCTTTTATTTATTTATGTATTATTTATTTATTTGTGCTGGTATATGAAATATATATTTATGTATATTTATCATTTCCTTTTATATATTTATTCAGCCCAACCAGATGAGAATACACTACTAATACCCTATAATAATAATAAACTTTATTTGACATAAAATATTACAATAAATATTTCAGTGAATCCGTAGGCTCCCAAACGAATGTAAAACTGTGTTTCAGGGGCCAGTGGCTTCTCCCATAACATAGCACTATTAATTTATGTCGTAAGATAAGGTACATTATAAGTTATTAAGCAGAAATACTTAAATCAAGAAAACAAAAATTAATAAAGAAAAGTGGGTATGTGTGTGTGTGTGTGTGTGTGTGTGTGTGTGTGTGTGTGTGTGTGTGTGTGTGTGTGTGTGTGTGTATGTGCGTGCGTGCGAGCGTGCGTGCGTGCGTGCGAGCGTGCGTGCGTGCGTGCGAGCGTGCGTGCGAGCGTGCGTTCGTGCGTGCGTGCGTGCGTGCGTGCTTGCGAGCGTGCGTTCGTGCGTGCGTGCGTGCGCGTGTGTGTGTGTGTGTGTGTGTCAGTAATAAAAAACAGTTAACATGTTTTCTACATCTTCATAATCAAGATTTTTAAGCCATAACAAAATATACTTTTTAATAACATTATTATTGCACTCTTTTACATTATACTCCTTATTTAGTCTGTTATATAGGTGTGGAACAATAACATCAAACTGCTTCTGGGCGAATCTTGTTTTTACTTTGGGAATAGGACAACGGTCAAGCCTCAAAGATGATTTAGTCCAGTAAGGGACATTTTTTTGTGATAATGACGTAGTCGTAGACTTTCGTAAAAATATTGAACTACCTGAAAATATTGACACTAAAAAATACTTTCAAGTATTTTTAAACCCAACCAGGGTTGTTATTTTCCATATTCGTACTTAGAAGCCTTGGTATTAATTTTGTCAAGTATGTCTCATATCTAATAGTGTTACTTGCTATTCATGTTTTTCTCATACTAGCGAAAACTAAAATTATGTATTTTGGTCACGATTTTCGTTACGTTACGTTCCGTTACAAGTAGAAGTAGTATACTGACGTCATTTTTTGGATTGAATCAATAATTAAATTTAGGTTTAATAACGACATAATTCGATTATTTTTTCAATTATATTTTATAAATACATGTTGTGCTCTTGTGATCCTCGTTGGCTGTCGTTAAAAAAACTGTGACCAGGATACTGTCTCGATTTTATGTGTCAAATTTTTTGTAATTACTTCCAGAATTAAAATACCGGTACCGGTAGTATTTTTATTACCTACCTTGTCATTTGATTTTAAATAATTTGGAAAATTCTAATGATTTTTATGGTTAAAAAGATCCCAAAATCTAGGTAAATTTCAGACTATAACTAGTGATATAATATTCTGCAAGGTGGCAGCACTGCTGGCAATCACAGATTTTAAAATTTTGTGCGTTTGTTTTGACGTCTATCAACCATACTATCAACAAACAAAATATTTAGATAGAATGTAGTGTGTGTATAATAAGTGTAGTTGTGTACGGCTTATTGATTGAATACCAATAATATAACGTATTTGAATCGTTATTTTATTATTTTAATAGAATTTTAATAATACATTATGGATGTAAGTTCAAGTAATGTAACTGTTCTTCTTCGTCAATTATGTGAAGAATTGTCACCCGAACCAGGTTTGGTTCTTTATTTAAATAATAAATAAATTTTTGGAAAATTAGAATAACATTTTTGGTTTGTTTTATTCATAGTTACAATTTTATACTTCGTAAATGAATACTTTATTTGGTTATTTTAAAGATATCCTGGTTAAAATAAAAGGAGGTGTGTTATGGTAACAATAATTGTAAATCTTGTAGGTTTATTGTAGAAGTAAGAGCTCATTATGACTGACTATGATATACATTGTGTTTTTTTTATAGATACAGCGTATGAATTGGCTTTATCATATTTATCATCTACAAATGAAAAAAGCCGCCCCATCCAAGATGAAAAATTGCTCTGCCAAAAAATACATAGTTGCCTCGCAAGTGTTTCCACAAAAGATGCCGATAAATTTACTGAGGCTTATGCAAAACTGAAAAATTCGGTGAGTATTTTAATACAAAATAATCTTATTTATTCAAGAAATCCTGTTTAGGTGGCATTCCTTAGCTGATGCCTATGTTTAGGAGTGGACTTGTGAAGGGCTGTAACAATAGATGTGATATGGTTATCTACTAATGCTGGTAATATTTCCAATTTACACCCTTTCATATTCCTGGGAATAAAAGTAGACAATCATATTTTTTAATTTGGCTTTAGTTTAATGAGTATTTTAACCTTTTCCTTGCTGCGCCTGCCATAAAAAAAACAGCTTTGTACCGGGTCTGTTCACTGGCCGCACTTGTTATAAACATTTATATTTGTCATGACCTTTCGTTTATGTTTAAAGAGGTTTTAGTTACAGTTATTTAAAGCCGATAATATTTTTGATAAGTAGAAACAATAACCATAACATTTAAATGTTTATTTTATTTTGTACAGCTCTTTGTTTCAAACCGATCTTGATAAAGTGTACTTACTGACGAAAAATTTTATTTTATGAATGAAATATCGTAAGTTTTTATTTTATTTTTATGTCCTAACAATCAATACAACATATTCTTCCTAAATGAACTAAAATTATGCATGTAAGCGCACACCATAACAAAAAACAGCTTTGTACTGGGGCCTCTGTCGTCACCTCAGCTGGCGGCACTTGTTATAAACATTTATGTTTCTCACAACCTTTCGTTTATGTTTAAAGAGGTTTTAGTTACAGTTATTTAAAGCCTACAGCTCTTTGTTTCTAACCGATCTTGATAAAGTGTACTTACTGACGATAAATTTTATTTTATGAATGAAATATCGTAAGTTTTTATTTTATTTTTATGTCCTTACAATCAATACAACATATTCTTCCTAAATGAACCGAAATTATGCATGTAATAATTATAATAATTCTACTTTTTCACTTGCAAACATTTGCTAAAAATTCGACAATAGACAGTTTGCGCGTGCTTTGTAAACTCATTTTCAAAACCCTTTTGTGTATATATTTTATATTGTCTTCCTTTATTTTTCTTATACAATCATATAGATATAACATTTAGCAATTCCTAGTAAAAGTATTTACTATGGTATTCTAATAAGAAATATACTATTATTATTTTATTAGAATCTTATTAGAAATCTTGACCATTATGAATTGTTCGTGTAGAGGTTTTTTATTTCTACTTTTTTACCAATTGAAACATAAAAAATTACTGTTGTTGTAGCTTAAATCATTCAAAAACATTACATAGTAAAGATAAATAACATTACTTACAGTTTTTTTGAAAGAAAATTCAACTAAAATCACAATCACAAAACTTCAACGATTACGCAACTAACCGCACCGGCACGCAAAAGCGAATGGCTGTTATATTTGATTTTGTTATGTAACCGAGTGAATGAACTAAAGAATATTCTTCAGAATATTCTTTAGTTCGTTCAGAATCAAATGAAATAGTGTTCAATTGGAAATATACTGTATTTTTATATCAATTAATGACGAAAATAGCAGCACGTAATGCAGACCTGTATACATGTCCTCTGTACTCAGCGGTCACAAAACATGTTGACATGTCCACAGTACCTCAAGGGTTAATATACTATGAGTATGGATATTAAATAAAAAAATTGTTAAATTATGTATTGTCTTTAAATTTACCTCAAACTTTAATGGAAAGTCTTATATTAACATTGTTTTTTTCATTAATAGTTTTACTAATCTACTGTCGAATTTAACATGTATTGAGTTTGGATGTTTTCTCTTTATAAATTAAAAGGTAAAGAAGCAAATGGCTCACCTGATTGTAAGTGATTAGTGTCACCCATGGACATCTGCAACATTGGGCGATTCGTAGGTGCCTTGCATATTTAACCCTTAGCTATCTCATACATTATATAGAGTTCATTGCTATAGTCTTACTATTGTCTCTGAAAATCGGACAGTGAAAGTGTTGAAAAGTGTGAGCTCTTTTCGTGAAGGTCCCTTAGTCAAATTGGTCTGGAAATACCATCAGCAATAATAAATTCCACAGTAAGCTTGTGGTATGATATAAAATTCTTTACACAGTTTTGTTAATGTTTTAGAATATGATAGGATATATTTTTTATTAATTTTCATATCAAAGAGCTCTTTGGTATTTATACCTCATTTTTCTGGGCATACTTCACCAGAAATAAGTTGCAAGCAAAAGCATGACATATTACATAAATTTTGAACTGTTTTTAAATGGTTCTTCCAAGTTTTGGGTATTTCATAATGTAACATGTTTGTATTTGTGATTTTTTACTAAATGAAATGGTTTTTTTTTTCAGTTTATTTTGAGGCAGAGATTATCAATTTTGACTCTACTGTCAACCCTGTCAGACAATATTCAGCAAAAAGAATACACTCAACAACTTTTTCCGATACCTAGCCTTGGTGTAGCTGTAAGTACCATTAATAACATTTAAACTACAAAAACATTCTTAAAGGTAGACAAGACATTTTCTTAATAAATTTAACCCAAGTATGATGTTAGATTGAATCGACAGAAAAAACGACAGTTAAAGCGACAGTAGCCTAATGGCAGGGCGCGGACCGGGAACTCTAAAGGTCTGGTGTGCTCGTAATACAAGCAATTTAAGCTTACCATGAGTTGTTAGCAATATTTATAGCATTGTTAATATTCTTTTTTAATATAAAAAAATATATAAAAATCTGAAAAATATAAATCATAGAAATCTAAAATTTGGACAGTAGCTTCATGTTATTATATAGGCATCCTTCAAGAATGGATTTTGGCAAATTCAATGCCAGAGGATGAAATGGGGTTATTACAGTTTGTATGAAACTTTTTATTTTACAGTGAGATGAGAGAGTGGGACATTCAATAAGTTTTGAGATATACAAAAAGTATTCCAGATACTATTAATATTTATTTTACATCTTTTTAAAATATTCTCCATCATGCTCTATACAAAGTTCCATTCGCCTAAACCAACTCTGAAAACACTTTTGCCAGTCTTGATCTGACAGGTCATCGTAGGGCTGCCTATGGCTTCTTCGGTGATTGAAAAAACTTGCCTTTTATTTTTTCTTTGACTTCTTGGGAACAAAAATAAATCACAAGGAGCTAAGTCAGGGCTGTAGGGTTGATGACTTAGAGTTTCAACACCAGATTCCTCAATAAATGATTTTGTTCTAAGGGAGGTATGGTGAAGAGGCATTATCATGATGCAATTCCCCGAAGCCTGGTCTTTGGTCTTCTTTCCTGCACAGTTTGAAAAGCTTTGAGTAATACAAATGTAGTATACCATTCAAAGTTGACTGACCTACAATTTTCCAGCATTGACTTCGACAACTTTCGCTCGGCGAAAAAAAAAATTTGCCACCATTTTTTTACCGACATTGTGAGGTCTTTGCAGTTTTGTCGGTAACTGTCCTTCTAAGTAGACCCATACCCATGATTGCCTTTTATTATCCGGATCATATTGATAGATCCATGTCTCGTCACCAGTAACGATTTCTGAAACACGCCTAGATGCCCCGTTTTCAAAATGTAGACGCATTTTATGGCACCATTCCACACAAGTCTGTTTTTCTCTTTCGGATAGCAAACAAGGAATCCATCGACAACAAAGCTTCCTCACTCCAAGATGTTGACATAGGATGATGTGAATGCTCCCCAAACTAATGCCTACAATCTTTTCAATGTCCGTGTATGTGATTCGATGGTCTTATCGCACCAACATTTCAGTAGTCAATACATTTTTTGCCATTACAGCTGTTTGCAGGGCCCCAATTCTTTGGTCATCTTTAAGGTTAATTTTACACCTTTTGAATTCAGAAAACCACCTAAAAACTGTTGTGCTTGGTGGACCTGAGTCCCCTAATGCTGATTGTAACCGTTGTAAACTTAATTGTTCAGTTAAACTAAATTTAAAATCATAATAGATCATAACGCGCAAATGTTCATGGTCAATATCTATCGTTTTAATGAAAAATGAAATATTTCAGAAGAATTTAAGTTTAAATGAAAAGCGCGGGATGCGTTGCAGGAAAATTAATAGAACTTTGTTTAATTTTTAATATTGAGCACTTGGCTAGTGATGCAACAGAACTCTGTTTCTGTTTCTGCAACTGCGGAGGTTCTGCATGATTTTCAACATCCGTTTCTGCTTCTGTTTCCGCAAGTTTTATAACGGAAGTTTGAACGGAACTCAGCGACGCAGCCACATGAGTAGATAAAATTCAGTTTATCTACTCATTTGACGCAGCGGACGAGGTACGCCGCATCGTTCGATAGTTGAGTACGAAGTAAGAGCGGGGTGGGGCATTTTAGCTAACCACCAGCGAGCTGGGTACGTGCTTTCGGCACTTGTCCCATCGGGTTTGTTTACTTACTTTATTATACGACGTGACGTGAGTGTAAGTGCGTAAGATTTTCTGTTTTTTAGTTAATCAGTAATTTGAGTCGTGTTACACACTTAAGTGCAATCATGAATCCAAAACGAGTAATGTTTGGAACTATCATGTTGAGATTGTTGATTTAGGCTAGATGTAAATTATGTGACAAAATATACTCGCGAACAGGCGGCACCACTACCGGTTTAAAGAGCCTTCTTAAAGCAATACATAACGAAGAGTTTGCAGAGTTTGAGAAGTTAGTTGAAACTGTTAAACTTGCATCGCAACTTAGTTTATTATATATATTTTGTAAACCCTTTGTAAAAAATAATATAAAATAAATTATTTTTTCAGTTTATATTATTTTTTACATTTATATTATTTATTATATTATATTTGAAGCTTATATTAATTATTTTTAAAGACACTAATGAGTATTTTGGATTCAAAGTTCGTTTACATCGTACTTTCGTGCTAGGGTTGTACTAAATTACCTACTCACTAAACCTAAACGTGGCTCTTTGAATGGTCCGCCTATATTTTAGTGACAATTTAAGTTTGGTGTATACGTAGCATCGCCAGTGAGCAATTATTTAGCGGAACTGGACTTATATATGAAAAACACCGCAACAGACTGTTAGGTGTAAAAGTGGCCAAACTACTTTTCATAAAATATAACTTACCGTTACTTAATTTTGAATGTTAATAAAAAGTTTTATTTGTATTTTTTTAATAAGTAGTATTTCCGTTTCCGCATCTGTTTCTGTTTCCGTTTCTGCAAAAAAAATATTTTTAACATCTGTTTAAGTATCTGCTTCCGCTATGATACTTCCTTACATCACTACTTATAGAGGCTTATAGAGTTCTATTTTTAAATAAATTTGCTTTTTCGAAACATATAACACGGGTGTGTTCCATTTTTAAATTTCGAGAATCTCAAAACATGTTGAGTGACCTACATTATTAAAAAAATATTGCTGCAAGAACTCTAAAATGAAAACAATAAAATATAAATTTTTTAGTTTTCAAAAATCTTTTAAAATTAAAAGATTGTATGAAATAAATTTTATTAGATGCACAGCCCAAATGGCTAGATTTATGTGCGTGGAATTGGGACAATGGCTTAAAAATAGGGTGTTACAGTTTGTACAACACTATATTTCTCAGAGCTTATGACTGATTATGACGACTTATGTTTGGTCCATTCACTTTAGTGCCTCGAGGTATTTGTACAGAGTTTAGTTGAAGTAATATTTTTAGATATATTTAAAAGGGATTAAAAAGTAGTTTTAGTTGTTATTTATGTAAGTAACTACGTCATTACGTATGTATATTGGCGATTTTCTCTAAACTACTGGATTGCTGCTGCAATAGTAATCAATTTTTTCGTCATGAGTGTCGTTTTCATGGTTTTGCGGGTGTTGAAGCCGATATTGCTGTAAAATTGTAAATAAAATAAGACAGTATTTTTTTTACAAAAGTTGTTGTTAAAAAAAAATAGTCCCACTGGGTTTCATGCTGGTTCTTCCCAGGACAGAGGTTTTTTTGCGAACCAGTGGTAAATGAAACAAAAGTGATTTTCAATAAGTATTATTTCTAATCCATATTGAATAAAAAAGTTTCTGTTTCTGAACGGTCACTACGGTTCGCAGCCGCTCATAAGTCCTGCCCGCGCGCCACCTGCGCTGTTTTCGTCCAACCGTGGCTCGCGTACGCTCCCGCCAAAACTTGTAAAAGGTTACGCCGTAATGACAAAGTTAAAGATCTATAGTTCTACAAGCTGTTGTTGTTAATATTAAATTGTTTTCCGTGTTTAAACTATTGTCTTTTGCTGAGATTAACCGATGCCATGAGATTATAGGTCGCGCCACGAATCATGATATTACTTAGCGTCCACTGCGCATGTATCTACAATTAAGCAGAAAAATGCAAATTGTATTATGACATTTTAATATGTAAAAAGTCAAAGGTCGACATTATAACTACACATCAAAGTCTCCACGAAAACGGAACGATATTTTTATATAATATCGTTAGGTTATATAATATTCTGTATTTTATGTACACTTAGTTAAAGAAATAAAATATTTTGTATCTGTAATTGCTGTTTTGTCTCTTTTTTTTTAATGTTAATGTATGAATGAGTGTAATACACTGTTAGAAAGCTTATTAAATACAGTTTTTAATGATGTTATTGTTCTTTTTATTTTATTGAAAATATATACTTAAATTCATGAAGAAATTAAGAAATTAAAAAATTACAATCATCTTTCAATAGATCTTGCTAATTTTTACAAATCTCATAAAGTATTTCATACTCTTAATACCGATATCAATATCTAAGTCGGTAAGTTCCAGGTTTATTGAAAAATTAATTACTTTATTTACTATTTTTTTTCAATATTGTATAACAGGTAGTCGCTAACACTTTCGATATCGATAGTACGCAAGATGACACAAGTATGTGAGCGGGCGACGGAACGCAGGGAGATACTACGTGGGGATAGCGCGTCGTCCGTTGCTATGGTTTCGCTTCCCCGTACCTCATACCGCACCGCACTGACACCTATTTTACGCTTCTGCGCAGTTTCAATGCTCGTGGCGTAACCTTTACCTATTTATTTAAATTCCATTGATTGATCAGTGATCACTACAGAACAAAAATGTAAAAAAATATATATCAAAAACATTAAAAGTCACAACAACGCTATTGCTTCAATGGAGCGTAGGTAATTATGTCCTCAACTAGGCTGTTTCCTTACTGTCCATATTTATACTGTGCTACAAGTCTACAAGGTGACGCCTTCGCCGCTCTCTCCCGTCCCTCTTCGTTCCGCATGACGCCCATTCTCCCGCGCGACCATTGTACAAAATTAGTTATAATTTAATCGATTTCTTTCTTTTCAGAATTCTTGCACTGTTACAAGTACGAGTAAAAGCACAATTGGCTCAGTTAGTTGGGGCAGTAATGCGTTAAAACAAGGATCAAGCCAAAGTCTTCCTGTTAATTACAGTAATGCTGCCATTGTTCTACAGTCGAATGGTAAATAATATAAGCATAGATACCTAACCTAAAAATGTAATTTGGTTTCTAGATTTTAACAGACTTGTATTTTTTCCCTTCCGATGTTAATTAATTGACGAAGCATATTTTTTTGTTATTAGAATGTTTATGATTTTGTTTTTTTTTTTAATGTATTGTGAATTATGTTACATGGTTCGTGTTAATTTTTGACTTGACTTTTTTTTATCACTATAACTTATAAGTCAACTAAGGATGCCAAAAGCGTTAGGGTTTCAAACATATCTCAAAGAAATCCATAAATTGTTTATGGAGACCAAATCAAGAGTGTGAGCGGTTGGAGTGGCCAGTATCTATACTTTCTAAGCATGAAGATAAAGGAGACATTGAAACAGCAGAGAATGATTAAACCTTTCTGTTTGAAAAAGTGGTGGCAGGGAAATAAAAACCACCGTACATCCAAAAATCAAAATAAATGAGTTCACAAATCTAAGATCAGGCTCGTATGTTTTTTGACTGAACAGCAGTTCATTATGAGACGTTAATCAGGAAACCAGAACATTATGGTGTAAGAATAATAAATATTGCTATAAGTTAAAATGTTTCAAGATGTATGGAGTCAATGTTAAGACATAGTGTAAAGGAGAATTAATGTCTCGACTTTAGAATTTAAAATAATTTTATTCCTTTTTTTAGTTCTTTGAAATCGGCTATCCAATTTTTTTAAAGTTATTTTTACCCTTTTGGGTGGACTAAGGAATATTACAATTTCAATATCGTCTGAATAGTTAAAAATTAAAAAAATTATCCCCTATTTTGTCATCCTTGAGAGTAGAATAATTTTTTTCAAATTTATACTTATATGCTTACAACTGAGGGATAACCTATTTAATAATTAAAGATTCACTAAATCTGGTTCTCAACTGACGAAGGTAACGTGAAACATACGTGCAAAAATATACAGTCGAATTGTAAACCTCCTTGTTTAAAGAATATACAATCACACAAGAAACAGTTATTAAATATCGATATCTTCATTTCATGAGGTAGTGTAGTGTAGTGTACCTGGCCTCTTTTGAAACATTTCTTTCAGTAGTCGATATTTATTTATTTATTTTCGACATAAGCCTTAAAAAATTCGACATTTTTACCTTGCCCTGCACGTTACACTAATATTAAGGAATACATGTATGACTATCTCATGGAAATTATGAATGAAATTATATACTTAATTAATTGTATAATACATTTAAAAAAAAAGGTCTTTATGGGTCCTGCTGAGTTTCATGCTGGTTCTTTCCATGACTTATTTGTTTTTCTCATCTTTTAAATTAAAATGACTTTCAATAAGTATTGTGTGTATAATCCTTAAAACCTTATAAATAAAAAATCCAATTTTCTTTCTATATAAAAAAGTCATGACCTCGAAAATATAAGTCATTGCCTTTTCTAAATAACCAAAATAAAATTTTAATGTTATAGATCGACCCAACGAGCGAGCATGTGTACGCGACGCTGTACTAGCAGCAACTGGAGTTCGGGCGCGCAGTGCCGTTGGAGTGTCTCGTCCGTTACAAATGTTATATTCACGTATTGCTCATTTGGGCTTTTTACATGACCGCCTTAAAGAATTTATTGATCCTTCTTCTGGTTTGATGCCACAAGGCAAGTACATTAATTCAAAAGAGATTTTTTAATACCTTAAGCCGTCCACTGCGTTAAGCGGGATTCTGTGCCGTGGTTTCGACGCGGGTACACGTAGCGGGCTGTGTTGCGTTTGACCGTCGCATCCTACGCGTTATCCCCGGTTAACCTAATGCCGCTAATACTACTCGATATCAAAACATAAGTAAATAACGTTATGTTATGAAAATATCATATCATATCGATAACCTAAATACATAACTGTTATCACATATCCAACCAAACCAACTATCTTACCGTGAGTTTGCACTGACGCGATTTTCACAAAAAAAAAAACATGTTTTAAACACTGTGTTCTGTCAATGTATCAAAAAGCGTTTGCATAGTCAAAGAACATGTTGTAGCGAAATTGTTTGACAGTTTTACATGTTGACATTACATATTTTAGCTATATTATATCTTTATAACTACAGAAACAAAATGTTTGAAAACAAATTTGTAGAGATATTGTCATGTTGAAAGATAAGTTTGAATATCTATTGAAAACTTTACACAGTTTTTGTGAGTGCGAACGCCACCATCAACAAAACATGTTGTGTGATTTGTTTTATGCGATTTGTTTCAAAACACTACGTGTTGGATGTTTCTCAGTGCAAACGTACTGTATCCAACATACGAAAACGAAACCAAAACGCAATATCTCAAACTGTGAAACGATCTGCCAAAATGACCCACGAACTAACCGATGTCTTTCGTTGATATTCGTTTCTTCTCGTTATTGCACGATACCATAAGTAAGTATAGAAAGAGATGAAGCGAATATGTATTTCGTTGCGATGTTTTGGTAGTTATCACTATCACTACGGTGCACATCGCGAAATATAATTACCTAAAGCAAAAGCAATAAGATCAAATTTTAAATGGTTAAAATTGCCTAAATTTTAAGTTAGTGTAATTATGAGAGTTATCAAATTTTAAATGATATTTAGGGCATTCGTCACAAGGATTAGATTTGTATGACCACATTATATTTGGTTAAGGCAACTTTCCGTTTAATGTTTTGGATGGAAACTTGAATTTGAAAACGCAACAATTACGCCCTTGACCTCGGTGGCGCTTTTCTAAGATATTATCTATAAAATTATTAATTTTTGACGTTGTGTTTTGCGTTTATTTGTAATATTTTTGTGCATTTTGTACATTTGTTTTAATTCAGATAATAAAGTGTACAGTGAAAATATAGTATAGTATATTTGAAGTTGATTTAGACTCTCTTAATCGTTTTTGTAAAAAGACTTTCAAAATGCTTGTGAAATATGGTCTCACTTGGATAAAAAAGACAACTCCGGTTTGTAAATATTGTCAAAAACGATGTCCTATAAATCTACTACTGGGAACTAAGTTCTAACTTAAGAAACTTTTCTGCTAGTCCTAAGCCTAGTTAAGCATGAAAAATAATCGCCAACTTAATAATTGCTAAATAAACTACCTTTAATAGTCTAAGTAATTCGTGAAATAAATGTTTTGCACTAGTTTTGCAATTTGATGTTATGTTACTGTTATCGTTTGCGCATTCAGTAGCATACCATTACCACTGATAGCGATATCTGGAAAACGGTTTTTAATAACGATATGAAAACTCAATATCGGTTATGTAACCGTTGCATCTAAAAACTGTAAACGCCCATGCTTACTACTTGACTGCACAATAGTAAGAATCTATTAATTTATTTTTGACTGGCATTTCTGTCTTGAATGTTGGGTTTATATATGTTATCCCATATTTTAAAGTATTGTAGAGACTTGTGATAAATTAAAATAATAAATAAAATTTTGATTTTTAATCCATATTAAACATAGTAATAATAATGCCAACACCTACTTTCTTTTATTACGAAGGTGTTCAATGATATTTAACACGTAATAAACGGCCCGTTATATGGGATATAACAAATTAATTCTGTAAGAACAGATATGCTCGTCAAAATAATAAGTTACTCTGAAATGATATTTTAAATCGAGTGTACTTTTACGGCGCGTCCAGTCTGCGACACGCAGCGGGTTTCATTTGCATAAACACGAGAGATTGTTTCATACGAAGACGTGTAACCGGCGCGCGAGTCCATCGCATAACGCGTATATCGCGCAGAGTTCATGATTTAGTCTAGTGCAATGCTCCTTTGTTTTGAAGAAACTGTTCTGCTTAACGCATCATACGCCATTAGAATTTGTATTTATGTTATTTTGCCAATTTTTGCTATTGGTTTCTTCACTTTAAGTTTTCGTTTTCTCCGAATTAGGTCTAATGGGCGAAGGTCTGGTTGCGTCTGTACGTGATGAACTTACAGAATACTACCGCAGCATCGCTCTCTTACAATCGCAGGTAAAAAACTAAAAATATAAGGCTTGGAATGAAAAGTTGGGAACATTTATTTAATAACATATTTTTGTAAGTAGGTATGTGAAGGTGATGGAGGTGGGGGAACTTTACGTCGTGTTTGCGTGTGGGCACAGGAACCTTTACATCGGCTTACTTGGCTAGCTAACATTGTCCATGCGGCTCAGCTCAAAAAAGGTAAGAAACAAAAATTTGATGTTAGGTTCACATGCCAATAAAAAATCTTTTGTGAAACTGTCAAAATATTTTTCATTAGAAATTTAATGAGAACAACAGAAAATGTTGTCACAGTTTCTTTCTCTTAATCTTTCAGATAAGCATCTTATTTTTATATTTTGAGAAAATAAAGTTATATTTAAAATAAAATAAAACTGGCCAAGTTTTGGGATAATACTAAAAGTAGAATATTTAAATTATATATGTAGCAGTTGTTGCGGTGCCTACTAAAGTTAAAAATTAAATATACAGTCTATATACGTCCCACTGTTGTGTACAGGCTTTCTCTCATTTCTGAGAGATTTCCATATCTTTATTACTCATGACGACATCACAGAACAATTGTTTTTCACATGAAGTACAAAGAAAGCACATTTTAAAAATAATTAAAACATTCGCATTACATAAAGCGTTAATAAAATATTAAACAAAATATCACAATTTTACAAGCAATTTCTTATGGTCATAAACCTTAAAATGTCGAATATAAACTTTATTAATATAATTCTCATTACTATTTATAATGTCACCAGCAGTTTAATGTAAGGCTTAAAGTTTTAAGCGTAGCGTAGAGGTCTTTGCCATTCCTCTAATATTAATTCGTACACCGGTCGGACATATACATAATTTCACTCTAGCATTAGGCTTTCCTTATCTGATCTATTATTGATACATTTAATCAATGATTAAGACATTATTAAACATTAGTTAAATTGCTTAAAATAAATGAAAATTCTTAATTATTTAATCAATTCGTATTACATAAATGATTGACGACGATGATGATGACGAGTCAATTAGCATTTTATAAAATTAACATAAATTTGACATTTATCTTAAGAAACAATGAATGATTTAATGAGATGTTTATCTCGCGTCACCAACAATGACTATATATTTCTTAAAAATCTCTGTCTGATAAGTGAGGTATGCTTTTAGGTATTAAAAAATGGGGAATTTACAGGGCAATACATGCGCCTTCAAAGTTCAAGTTACGTTCAAAGCTACCGTCGCCGACGACAGTGTTGCCAGGCTTTAAAAATATGCTGAACTTAAAGCAAATTGTAGTAAATCATATAAATGAAAATATTATAATTCATTTCGTGATGTTTTAATTCGTTTTTCAGTCCTTTATGTCGAATACAAAATATTGTTTTTATTTGTTATTAGGTGGTGAACTAGCTTCATGCGTACATCGGTTCGTACGTCACGGCGATGAGCGCGTCGCTACCCTTGCCCGTCGTTTACTTACTGCGCTAACGTATCCATTGCTACTTATGTTAACGCGATGGCTCCTCCATGGTATATCCATTTTTATAATATTTATATGATATTCCTCATTTTATAAACACTAATATAAATTTAATCGTGCATTTTAGGTGAAATCGACGACCCGTTTAATGAATTTTTTATCGAAAGCCGAAGTGGCGTACCGATTGACAGAATGTGGCATGATAAATATCGAGTAAGGTAATATACGTTTATTACATTATGAATAAAAATAAGTCCGTACCTACTGTTATATGATGCCCAAATATTTAACGCAGCTTTTTTTATAGGATGGGATGACAAACAAGCACACAGTCCACCTGATGGTGAGTGGTTGCTGTGGCCCATAGATATCTACATCTATCCTCGATTACCAATCAAAATGCAGATGTGTTGTCATCCGTGAGGACTTAGGTGGAATGCCTCGTTTCCAGTAAAAAGGGTCTCCGGTTCTCTACACTCACCATACGAAACACAGCAGTATTAAGCTACTATTTGACGCTGGTATTCTGTGAGAGCGTGGTCCTTCACAGGTCGAGCCGACCCATTCGTGCTACAACTATACTACTAAGATCAATTTTTAGATGTCATTAAGTCTCGTGATGTTTATATCACTAAGTGAAAGTATCGTGACTCCACGAGACTACCTGCATGTCTTACCAGGTCATCACTCCATCTATTGGGTTGCCGCCATACACTTCACCTACCGGGTATAACTTTCTTCACCATCGTGTAATGTTGGAAGGTGTTAAATGAAAGATGTGTTACTCTTACTATGACTTTAATAATACTGCTTCTATTTTTTTTGCGCCCGAAGCAATAAGGGCAACCCTCCGGAAAGCGAGGGAGGGAGGCGGTGAATGCTCATAGCGTACCACGCAGTCGGCTGCGTGGTACGCGAGAGATCTTTAAGCACTTCAACTTACTAATCCGTTAGACTATGTCCTATTTTGGTCTATCCTCATTAATTATCAATTTTTATCCCTGAAAAAAATCTTAAATTTGAAGTTAGCCGCCATTTTCTCAGTGTGCCAACATGATCAGGTAATAGATAATAACAGAAATCGTTACGATTTTAGAGAATGGATGGTCCCGTCATTTATGTCACGCGAGCAGGCGGCGCAGATCCTGGCAACGGGCAAGAGCGTGGTGTTCATGCGCGAGGCTTGCGCTGACGAGCCGGGGCCCAGCGACCACGCGCATCACCTACAGGCGCTTCTTAAACCACATACAGGTACACTTGGCCTCTTGTTTTTTTTTTTTTCATTTTAGAAGATGACCAGCTTTTTCCCGTGGCTCCATGAGAGCAGGAATTTCCGCTTTACCAGCATCATTTGTGTTCCATGCCAAAAAAGTCGGGATCATCTCTTTGGTCAAAACAAGCTTCTCAAAGAGTTGTTAATAATACATTCGATAATGTAGAGCCACGCTGCAGCTACATTACGGTTGAAGCACGAATGGGTCAGCTCGACCGGGGAAGAACCACGCTCTCACAGAATACCAGCGTAAAATAGCAGCTTAATGCTGCTGTGTTTCGTATAGTGAATGTAGAGATGCGGAGACCCTTTTATAATGGAAATGAGGCATTTCATCTTAGTCCTCAGGGGTGACAACGCATCTGCATTTTGATTCTTAATCGAGGATAAATGTAGATGTCTATGGGTCACAGCATCCACTCACCATCGGATGGATAGTGTGTTTGTCACCCTTATTCCATAAAAAAAGTATGTCAGTCAAAATATACAATTTGTTAATGACTTGAAATAATTTCCACACATCTGCTGAATGTGTGGTCAGATTCTTACATGATTATGACCTATCGTCTCTATATTGCCATATTGTGTGAATATTATCTCTATTGTTAAAGCCGTTTCAAGTTGTTATAAAATCGTTACAAGCACACAAGTCCAACACAAGTTAATTAAACAGTTTTTATTGTATGTTGCGGTAGGTCTACATCATTAATATAATATTATGTAGTATAATTTATAGTATAGTATAAATTATACCATATTATAATGATAAAGCTTTATTATTATTATATATTATATTAATAATTCTTTTAAAACTTGGTTAGGCTTTCAATGTATAATTTTGATATAAGTAAAGCCAGAGCCATCAACTTAATATGTCTCAACCCCAGCCGAGCCGACCCACTCGGTACGTGGAATCGAAACACTGTTTCCGCACCACGGAATATTAAAAACAAGAAGAATAAATATCACAAATAGGCGCAGTGCTGCTTAATTGACTTTCAATTGAAGGCTTTTTTTGTCACGAGCTGACTTGTCGCTACTTAATAAAACAGATATATGTGTGTAAACATGCAGTATTATGCAACATTGGAATACATAAATGAATATATTATAGGAGTCATGGGTGTATTAATTGTACATTAATGCTATTTCTTATAAATTTGGTTTCGGAATTAATTTTGTTTCAATAACGATCAAACATATATTTGAATGGATTGTACTTGTATTATTAAGTTATGTAGTTATTCATCATCATTACAAACTTTCACAAGTCCACTGCTAAATGTAGGCCTCTCCAAAAAATGGCTCAAAGCACGGTCCTGAGTACACCTGCATCCATCGACTTCCTGCATATTTTACCAGGTCTTCACTCCATCCAGTGGGGAGAAGTCCTACACTTAACCTGCCGGTACGAGGCTGCCACTCGAGATACTTTTTTCCTCATCGGTTATCGATTATTCGAGTTATATGGCCGGTCCATTGCCGGTTCAGTTTACTGATCCGTTGGGCTATGTCGGTCACTCTGGTTCCACTGCGGATATCCTCATTCCTAAGTTTATCATGCAGAGAAACCTCGAGCATAGCCCTTTCCATAGCTCGCTGAGCGACTTTGAGCTTCCTCATACAGCCAGCAGTGAAAGACCACGTCTCAGATCCATAGGTCATCACTGACAACACTCACTGATTGTACTTGTATTTTGATGTTTTGAGGTATGCCTAATGAGAAGATGTGTCGTGATCTCCTGGACGCTGCCCAGCCGAGTTGAATCCGTCGATCCGTCGAAGTTGGACTTACCTAGTCGAACTATTTCTCACAAATAAACATACTCATCAACAACTTCAGCTTAGTGCTCCCAAGAACCACCGGCATAGGTGTGAAATGGACATTACACATGACTTTTGTTTTGTCTCTCTGCAGTTGGATAGGTTTCGTACTCTGGTTCTGTACTCGGATAGCATTCGTAGCCCTAGTGTACAAACACATCAGTACTACGATATAACGACAGTCAACTTGGCACCGCTGAAGGGACTGCAGCACCCCTCAAATTTCGACGGAATCACATACGCAAGACAAAGTGGCAAATTGTACTCTTCGGACTTTTTGCCGAAGTGTATGTAATGTATGTAAAACTAAATCGTCTTATTTTTTTGGGCTGCCCCGGGATTCGAAACGGGGATCTCATGATCAGCAGTCGCATTTACGACCTCTAGATCAACGAGGCAGTCGATTAACCGTGTACAACATAACCCACTCAGGGGACAGCAAGGAGGTGGGCGCTGGTGCGGCGTGGTGGGAGGCGGAGGGGTTGCGCGCGGGCGTGGGCGCGGCGCACGCGGCTGCCTCGCAGCGGCTGCTGGCCGCGCTCACCTCCCATCACCACTTGCTGGATCACCTGGCCGCGCACCGCCGCTACCTGTTGCTCGCGCAGGGCGACTTCGTGCATCACCTCATGACACTGCTGCAGTCAGTATGCCATTTGATGCTGCGCGTGCTTGCATTATAATATCGATTACATTTTTGCTGGGTTTTAGCGAGATATTAATTTTGGTGTATTAAACGTAATTATTATTACACAGGACCATTACACAGCATTTACAGTTTATGTTACCTTCCTTCCTTATTACATGCATTCACAAGTTTTTAGACCACAAAATTTTTGAAAATGCTCTTTAAATACTATATCGCTATTATAATATCGCTATTATTGGTTAGAATCTAAGTCAAAATCATGAAGGTTAGAGAACAGGAGAACGATCACTACGTACTAAGCATAATCCTTGAAAATTGTAGAATTTATAGCGGCGCTGTCATCGGTGAGTAGTGACTGCGAAGTTAGCTGTTTATAAGTACAAGTAGATGAAGTTAATTGGATAATGTACAAATTTTCTCCGCGGCATAGGTGAGAAAATTTTCATGCTCCGTAATTTTGTAATTTTTGACAAAAAGAAACATTAAAAAATGGAGAAATATTTTATTGTGCGTGGATGTGCAAGTGGTTGAGCATCTGATCGGAAAAATAGACTGAAAATGACTTTTATTGACCGAACTTAGTGATCGCAGCGCCTCACTGATGGTGTCCATATTTCTGGGACACTATTTTCTACGGCGATCGTTCTCCTGTTCTCTAACCTTCATAGTCAGAATATAAATTTGAGTACATGAATGCTTATTTGTTTATATTAAGCCTTTGTCTTTTCCTTTGTAATTTCTTGTACTCTAAACGGTTGGACGGATTATGAAGTATCGGGTGGTAGGAGGTTTCATAGGCTACATTTTGTTATTATGGTAACACTTTGCTTGAAGTGCATTCTGTCGAACTTCTTATGTTATTAGTAAACATTTATTATAATAATGCAGTCGGGCTGGTTCGTGGTTGTAAAAAGTAAAGCTAGTATTTAAAAGAAAAAATAATTTTTAAACCCATGCTTGTATAATATGATACTATCAATTTTCTTTTCTATTTTGTCTTTGAATGAACATGTTTGCCTCTAAGAAAGTAAAACTTATTTTTTTACACTGCACTTACAGGGAGGAGCTGAATAAACCGGCGACGTCGTTGTACGTGCACAATCTGACATGCACACTTGAGGCAGCCGTTCGCGCCACAAACGCACAGTTCGAGCCACCCCACGTTTTGGCCCGCTTACACGTCAATTTATATCCCAATTGTAGGTCAAACATTTTTTATCTAGAGTACGCTTTATATACAGTCTGTTCTTATCTAGAGATAGGAACAGACTCTAGATAGGGACATACTCTAGTATGTGATATCCCAAGGATCTCATTTAAAGTTGACGTAGGGTAATGCTACAAAAATGTCCGCTGATATAGCGTTTTTATGGTGGATGACCTATATGTATAATATGTAATATTAGAAATGTCACAATCCAACGCCGATTTCTCATAAACATAGAAATTATAGTAAGGTACAAATTGTATAATATTTTAATTGATGTTTAGATAAGTCTCCATTCCGTCTATTTTCGTCTATTTTCGTCTAATATTAAGATTGTTCACACAATTTTTGTGTACCTGTATTTTTTGATTTAGGATTTTGCACCGATTTTTTTGTAACCGAGAGAACTGATAAATAGACGGGACTTGGCTATGGGAGATGCTCCCAAGGTGAGAGAGAGCTTCCCCCAGTAATTGAATGTTCCCAGGCGACGGGCGCGAGGATAGCGGGTGGGATGTGTTCGCACTGCAGTATCGCGTGGACGGACCCCTGGGCACCTTGTTTCCGGCCACGTGCGCGGCCAAGTACCGCGCACTGTTCGCGCAGCTGTGGCGAGTCAAGCGCATCGAGCACGCTCTGCATCGCGCCTGGCGGGACCACATCATATTACAAAAACGGCTTAAGTACATGCCCGGTATGTACTATGGCATCTTATTACATGTAAATTAAGGTCCACATTTGCATGTATTTATTCCGGTAACGTGTGACATGTCATACGCATATGTTATCCCTATGGTTATTGCTCTATGTATGTTTGTTTGTCCATTTCTATGTCAATCTGAAATGTATCATGCATGTTACAGACGGGTATGTGAAGTTTTAAAAACTTGTTATCATAAAAAATAATTAGCAAATATATAGTACACACATGAAGGTGATAAGTTAATGGGAAAATATATTATAATTTGTTCATGAAATATCTGTTACCGTTTAGTGGCGGCGTAATAGACTCGCTACCTAGGCTGCACTAAAAGTATCGGGAATGGAATATTTCCACTGTTCCTGTCATATTAAAATCTTTTTAATTGAAAACTCCTTGGTTTTAAAAATCGAATACCATTTATTTATTTAAAAAAAGATTCTCGGTCTTGTCACAAGGTTTTGTCAAACTTGTTTAGTCGTTGAGAAAATGGAATTCACTCGAGAAAATTCAAGAGCGATGATTTATTATGACTTTCGAAGTGATTTAACACAAAAACAGTGTGTTGACCGGATGATTTTTGCATTTGGTGATGAAGCCCCATCCAAAACCACAATTTATCGCTGATTTGCTGAATTTCAACGTGGACGTGTCAAGCTCAGTGATGATCCCCGTCAAGGTCGTCCAAAAACTGCAGTCACCCAAGAAAACGTTGATGCTGTGCGTAGGCTGATTGAGGAAGATCGACATGTGACATACCGCGAAATTCAGGCAACTTTAGACATTGACATGAGTCAAATACAAATAATCTTGCATGAACAATTAGGTGTAAAAAAGTTGTTTTCCCGATGGATACCGCATTCGCTATGTGAAGAGCAAAAAGCGGCTCGCGTTACTTGGTGCGTCAGAACTCTCGAAAGATTCCACGCAGGATCCTCAAATGCTGTATACAACATCGTATCAGGTGATGAATCCTGGATATACGCGTACGAACCTGAAACAAAAACCAGTCACGAGTTTGGGTGTTCGGAAATGAGTTAAAGCCAACAAAAGTTGTTCGTTCACGGAGTGTTGCAAAAAAAAAATGGTGGCCACGTTTGTCTCCAAAACCGGCCATGTTACGATTATTCCTCTTGAAGGACAAAGAACGGTTAATGCAGAATGGTATGCTAGCATTTGTTTGCCACAGGTCGTTTCTGAACTCCGTAAAGAGAACTGCAACCGCCGCATCATCCTCCATCACGACAATGCGAGTTCTCACACGGCACACAGAACAAAAGAGTTTTTAGAGCAAGAAGACATAGAATTATTAGACTATCCGCCATACAGCCCCAACCTAAGCCCTCATGATTTCTATACTTTCCCTAAAATAAAGAATAAATTGCGTGGACAGAGATTTTCATCACCTGAAGAAGCTGTGGATGCCTACAAAACGGCCATTTTGGAGACCCCAACTTCCGAATGGTATGGTTGCTTCAATGATTGGTTCCATCGTATGGAAAAATGTGTCAAATTTCGCGGAGAATACTTCGAAAAGCAATGAATACATTTTTAAATAGTAATGTTGTGTCACTTCCTTGATTCCCGAAATTTTCAGTGCCGCCCTCGTACAGCATAAACTCCAGTAGGTATCGTAATACAGATGGCAATGAAACAGATGGGCGGCAGAAACTTAGTGATGAAAAATAAAAATTATAAAAACTGGCTGGCAAACTGCTTGCCAAGCGTTTCAACTTTGGCAAATATTTCCCCTTTTCCCCGTGCGGAAAATTATAGAATTTTAATAATCAGTTACAGAGTTAAACATTAAACAAGTTGGCCCGCAGATTTGCACGGTGTACAAAGCAGGTTAAGATAACGTTGTTTAAAGCTTACTGCCAATCATTCTACACGTGCAGTCTGTGGACGGGCTATTCGCAGCGGACCTACGGCGCCCTGAGAGTGCAATACAACAATGTGCTGAGGGCGGTGTTGAGGAAGCCGCGAAACTGCAGTGCGTCGGCAATGTTTGCGGACAGTCGTATGTGTCGTCCATGATGAGCAGGCTTGTGAGAAGCACTAACACCCTCCTCAGCGCGTTGGCCTCTAAGCTAGACAGCCCTCTCTGGAGGAGCTGGAATGATGTGCACACCGGCACTAGGCCTCAGCGCCCACGCTGGTGCTGAATAGGTTAAGGTAGATTAAGGACTAACATAGCATAAGTAATAGTCACTAACACATTTTGTATTAACATAGTTATATAAGTTAATTGTTTACTAACACATTTTTATATGGACTATGGTCTGAATTAAAAATATATTATTATTATATTATTATATAAACATGAAATAAGTCATCTTGATATGAATTTAAAGGGATGGGGTGTCCTAATAATTCCCTCTTCAAGAGATGCGTTTATGTACTCTGTTGTAAACACCCCTGCTCTGTCGTAAACACCCCTGTTAGGGGGAGCCGACAGAGGAAGTAGGTCGCCTCTATGCGGGAGTTATACAGTCCGTAGCTCCATACGGAGCCCTTGTACGGGCAAAAAGGTTGGCTATCCGACGCTGTAGAACTAAAAATGGCCATAAGTATCGTATGATCGTACAGTCCAACCTTTGCAAAGTGACTGCTCTATACCATGGATACCAGCCACCGAACTCAGACAGAGAAGGCTAGAGATGCATTGTCATATCTAGGGAATAAGATGAATGCCTCACAGCCTGTAATTATTATAATGGCTCTCTATACCCTTCAAGCCACAACACAGTAACGCACGCACTGCTGTGCCCAGCTGTGGGACGCAGGAGGCTACAACTATATTTCACTTTTACTTCAATCGTACCGCACTATTGTTTGAGGCAGCGACAATCCTGGCTCGCTTTCCACTTCTAGACATATTTTGCGGACATGCCTGGGTCAAAAAGTTTCATATTTTTCTTAATTCTTGTTTTCTTGTACTTAATGGGAATAACAACGTGGTGTACACATAAAACTATAATAAAAACGTTTTTATCGTCTAGTTTTTATATTATAATATAACATTAATGCTAAAAGCGAAGTAATAAAGTCGTTTAATTATCCCTATGGGTACCCAATTTTCATATAAAATGAAAAAACATTAATTTCGCAACAAAAGTGAATGAAAACACGCATAACTACGTGCAAATATTAAAGATAATTTATATTTCTCGATACTCTGATGTTTTCAGCAATAATAAATATGAAAACACTAAATACGATATAAAATGAACAAGAACTGAATTGGCGCGATTTAATTGACGATTTTCGACTGGCAAATCTTCAAATTCGTCAACGAATTACAGATTAAAAATGATTTATTATCTAGCTTTATCTATTAACAAGCCTTTTCATAAATATGAACGGGTTACGAAACCGGCGACACAGTGGCTGCGTTTGGCAAAAAAATAGCGCTAGCAAGCGCTTGTAAGCAAAATGGCATCGTAAGCGGTAAGCGCTGTCAAATCGTAAGTAGCTATTTTCCTCTAGGACACGAAGTTAGCTTTAACTGGGGAACCTAACCTAATTTAAATATATGTTTGTAAAGTATTTATATTAAAAACTTAACAATCATGAATTTTTAATAACATGTATAATATGTTTATTCAAATCATTATATTACTTTTTTTTTATAGGATAGGGTGACAAACGACCACACAGTCCACCTGATGGTAAGTGGTTGCTGTGGCTCATAGACATCTACATCTATCCTCGATTACGAATCAAAATGCAGATGCGTTGTCACCCGTGAGGACTAAGATGGAATGCCTCGTTTCCAGTAAAAAGGGTCTCCGGTTCTCTGCACTCACCATACGAAATACAGCAGCATTAAGCTAATATTTCACGCTGGTATTCTGTGAGAGCGTGGTCCTTCCCCGGTCGAGCCGACCCATTCGTGCTACAACTATACTACTAATATAACTGCAGCATGGCTCTACCACGTAAAAAAACTGATATTGAACTTGAAACTAATATTGCACAAAACAACTTGTAAACTCTACTTCAAAACAAACAAATTAAAAAAGCAAAATGGCGGATTGTGTCAGCGTTACTGAAGTGAGCAAACGTGTCCTGGCCGAAAACTGTTTAGTTTCGCCATTTTGCTTACAAGCGCTTGTTAGCGCTTTTTTCTGCCAAACGCAGCCAATGAATTAATAGACAGCCGCAGCGGCTGTTTGGACTATCCGATGTGTGCCTTCTCGGTGTTTTTGACTGTTGAAGGTGTATATTGTTAATACAAAAAAGGGAATTTTTACATTAAAAATGCTGCAGAGGTGTGGGGTCTGATGCGGCGAGTGTCGTGCGTGCGCGCGGAGGCGCTGCGACTGTGCGGCGCGCTGCAGGAGGCCAGCTGCGTGGGCGCCGAGCCGGCGTGGGCCGAACTGCGCGCCGCCGCCGCCAGCGGCCACCACCTTGACTCGCTGCTGCGCCTGCACCACTACGCGCTCGACCGCCACTCCATACACGCTATGATACACCACACAACCCAGGTTTTGCTCTCTTTACGTATATAATGTATAGTAAATAGGATAACCCGTAAGAGTGATTTACTGGATTTACTTTTAAACTTATATTATACCATTAAATTCTTAATGTACATTTAATTAAAATATGAGATATGCTTTATAAAATTGTAAATTCATAATGCACGCGAAGCATTGCCGCGAACTTTTCCGAAGCACATTAACATGTCGCTGTATTCATGAGTACTATAAACGTACGCGTTAGGTATTATTAAAACAAGAAACACAAAACAAAACGATTAAACTGTCGCTCACGCACACGTCAACGTGGAACAGTCTTCGTGTGTCCTTGCGGTTAGCATTTTGACCATTCCACAGATCATTAAACCGTTACGACTAATATTCATATGGAATTTACAAGTTATAGTAGTCATTTTTAATACAATTAGACAATCGTTTGTACCCTGACGCAACAAGCAGTTGGTTACTACAAAAATGATATTGACATTAATAAACGTAGGTACCTAATTATGTGCTCACACAATTATAAACAAAATTTCATCGTTATCTTTGATTTTGTACAAGAAAATAGAAATGAAATGGTACTGAATAATTTAATAGTTAAAATCAATTGCAATTATGATCGATAGTTAACTTATCTATCACAATTAATCTAAAAAATAATTCTTTTACTTTATTTTAATTGACTGCCCTTTTTTTAATTCGTTCAATAATTTGAATTTAAAAAGAGGTAAGTTGAAATTATTAAAATTAATTCCAAGTTTTATTGTGATTGCCGCTTCTAATTCTTATTTCGCCTGCAAAGTGCTGTTGTTGGGAGCACTAAGCTCGAAGTTGTTTACGGGTACGTTTACCTGGGACAAATATTCCGACTAGGTAACTCCAAGGACGACCGAGAGTTCAATCGACTGTTTCAACTGGGCTGGGCAGCGTTCGGGAAATTACGACACAATCTTCTCATCAGGTATACATTAAAAACAAATTGTACAACCAGTGCGTGTTGCCAGTGATGACTTATGGATTTGAGATGTGGTCATTCACTGCTGGCCGTATGAGGAAGCTCAAGGTCGCTCAGCGAGCTATGGAGAGGACTATGCTCGGGGTTTCTCTGTGTGATAAACTTAGAATATCCGCAATAGCACCATAGTGTCCGACATAGCCAGAGCCCCAGAGATGGGAATAGTAAGCTGAAGTAGCAATGGACCGGCCATATAGCTCGAAGAACCGACAACCGATTGAGAAGAAAGGTTCACGACTAGGTGGAGTGACGACCTGATAAGATATGCAGGAAGTCGATGGATGCAGGTGGCTCAGGACCGTGCTTTGTGGCATTCCTTGGGGGAGACATATGTTTAGTAGTGGACTTGGGAAGGGCTGGAATGAATGAATGAAAAACAGTTTAAAATTTGGCTACTCTGAAAAATAAATCAGTATATAGCATTTATTTAAAAAATCATTTGCGAATTACCGTTCGTCACACTTATGAATTTAAACTTGATTCTAATATTTGTAATGATATGATTTTAATAGGAACTGCAGTCATACTTGGGCAACGTGTTGAATGAAACGTTGGCGCTGCGTAGCTTTGAGACGACACTTCACACGGGCATACACGCAGAGTTGGACCGACGCGAGCGCATAGAACAATTGAAAGCTGAGAGGGTTGCCAGAGGTAATTTTAAATTATCATAATAAGATAACAAAGGAAGATAGCCAGAATGCTTTGTTCATTTTAATTGATGCCGAGACATGCTCAACTTATTATAGGAGCACGCACACATTGTGCATCTAAAACCATGCTTATCGCATTGAACTATTTTACTAACGTATAGAAAAGAAATCCCGAACCAAGTTTGCTTCATTTTGGTAAGAGTTACGGCCTGGCCACGGGGAACGGCGGCGCGAACGGCGAAGCGACAGGCGGGGCGAAAATTCGCGCGGCGCGATTTGAGGGCCACGGGAAGTCACGTTTGTCGCCGCGACCAGATAGGCCGAGAGTGAAATATCTTTATCAAAGTTATCTCGATATTGCTTAGAAAGTAATTGTTTTTTGATTCAAGACATAATATTTGGAAAAGATTGCAGAGTACATGATTTGAATAGGAATCGGGTTATAAATGGAGAATTCCGCAACATATAGAATGCATCCAGAAAAAAATTTCGAGTTAATACCAGAATGAATGTCGAAACCCGCTATTATATTCTTGTTAGTATTGAACCAGAATTGAAGATAAAAGTCAATGCGGATAGAATTTTAAGTTGTTTTTGTCGGCCCGGCATTTTTCGCGGCGAAAACAACTAAAATATTTTGTTCCTTATACTATTCGCCGCGTCTGCCGCCCGACTCCGTGGCTTGCACCGTACTGATTCATACATTTGTTTCATTCGCCCGCGCGATTCGCCCGGTAAATTTCGCCGGTCGCGTCGCCACTCGCCGCTACGCGTGGCTTGCTCCATACTTTTCTATACATTAGCGCTAGACGCCTCGCCGTTCGCGCCGCGCGAATTTTCGCTACGGCGAATGTCCCGTGGCCAGGCTGTTAGAACTAAAGTTCGCTGCAGCGCTAACTATTAAAACATGCAGCGCTAGTTTGCATTAGGGATGAGTTTCCTCGCGACCCAAACGTCATAAGCGCCAGGGCTTTCATGGCGCTTACGCGTATCGTTCAACGTAGTCCTATAAATTTCAAGTCTAGCCTAAAAAAACAAAAGTAAAGTAAAAGTAAAGTTAAGTATATAGTATGCTGGGCTATCTTGGGAGGTTTGTAAGCTCAGTCGGTCCTATAAATTTTACAACGCAGAAGTGATACAACTTTTGTACCTATACAAAATAATACTCTGCCTTATCATTAAATAAATAAAAGAAGTGAAATAAAAGTCTCGTAGCAATTTAATATAAACTTTATTTATTACAAATTCTAAATAATTCAACACAAATTAATATTTAATTGCCTTTAATATAAGTTTAGTGAGCTTTTGACGTTTGCTCGTATAATCATTTGTTATGTTTACCTCGTGGTGCAATCGAACAGTTGTATATAGATATAAACAATTTTTTTGTCTCATAGTATATGTACATAATTAGCAAATAACAAAGTAAGAAATATAAAATAATAAACACAAAATTTAATTGGAACTATATATGTGGAAACCACATTTACCGATATTATTATGGTGTTTTTATCGTATGGTACAGCAGTTTTCTTAAGATAAACTCGTCCTCTTTTTGTATAATGCTTATCCTCATCCTTTAATTGCAATGAACATACATATGTATGAGGAGTCGGAAGCCATGATTCTTCATTTCGATTATTTTGCACAAATTTTATCCACGTTTTTGTTTTCTCATGATCCGGCCGTAGAAACCTTCAAAGTTATTTAGGTTATTTAGGTAAAAGTCACAATTTACTTATTTTACACAAAAATAATTAATACAACATAAACTATTGACAAACTGAACGACAAAATAGGCACAAAAGTATATTGCGTATCTGCGACTTTTGTTTTCATTATTTTTATGATTAGTACTGCAAAATGGCTACGGTCGACAGCCCGATTCTCGGAGCATTGTAATAACGAGAAACACTTAAATCAAAGAGTTTTTAACGTTTTAATGTCTACTTACCGATGAAATGTTAAACCATCACTTTTTTTTTTGATGTTCTGGAGTGCTTACTGCAGTCTTTAAGAACACAACCAGGCATTTTGAAGTTGTTATTTATGCGAAGCGAACACGACTCGTTAGTCCCGCACACAGGAGTCGTGTTCGCTTCGTTGGACACTCACGAAACAGTTGCAGGGTACAGTGTACCGCAATGCAAGGCGATGTCTTCTCTATACGTTATCACTCTTAAGTTTGTGTTGTGACATTGTATAGTGAGTATAGATGTAAAAAATACTATTTCTTATTGCGATGTAAAACGGTGTAAAAATAATACCACATCAATTTAAAAATCAAGGTAAAATCTAAAGAGCTTAGCGCTTACTGTAAATATCACAGTATACGAGTATACCAATTAAATTGTTAATTGCAATTTTAAGTGCTGATACACTACGTGCTCGGCGGTGAAGGATCTACCTGGATGGTAAGTGATTGCCGCCGCCCATAAACAACTGCAACACCAGGGGAATTGCAGATGCGTTGCCGGCCTTTAAAAAGGAGTAGGCTCTTTTCTTGAAGGTTCCTAAGTATCGTTTCAGAAAAATCTCTGGTGGTAGTGGTTTCCACAAGTAAGTCGTGCGAGAAAGAAAACTTTTTAAATCGCACGGTGGTGGACCGCCATTCATCAGATGGTATGGATGGTATGAGAGTTTTGTCGTGATGTGTGGGTAAATTTTGCGGCTGGAATTAGTCCGAACAATTCCTCAGAGCACCCCCGTGGTAGATGTGATAAAATACGCAAAGAGATGCAACATTCTTCGCAGTGTCAATTAGTCATGCCGATCAGAAAGAGCTCGGTCACCGACGATTCATTCGAACAGCTCTGCGATGGATGCGATCAAATGGAAGGAGCTGGCACTGGGGAGCCACGCCCCAGAGATGGGAATAGTATTCCATTTGCGGCCGAACCTGCAACTTGTAAAGTTGCAGGCGGTGTGCCGGCATGAAATACTTTCCTGCTCTGCTGAGCACGCCAAGCTTTTTAGAAGCCAATTTGGCCTTCTCTTCCAAGTGACCACGAAACTGCACGTCACTCGATATGTTGACGCCGAGGATTCCGATACTGGCTGAGGCAACAAGGAGAGTGCCTTGAAACTGAGGAGATTTTTTTTTATAGAAGAGGGGGCAAACGAGCATGCGGCTCACCTGATGTTAAGTGACTACCGCCGCCCATGATCAACCGCAACACCAGGGGAATCGCAGGTGCGTTGCCGGCCCTTTAGAAAAGAGTAAGCTCTTTTCTTGAAGGTCCCCAGGTCGTATCGGTCCGGGAAAATCGCCGGTGGTAAACTATTCCACAGAGAGGTTGTACGCGAAAGAAAACTCCTTTTGAAACGTACAGTGGTGGACCGCCAAGCATCCAGATGGTGTGGATGGTATCGGGACGTTTGCCGCGTAGTGCGTTCACGAAATTTGGCGGCTGGAATTAATCCGAACAATTCCTCAGAGCACTCTCAATTGTATATGCGAAAGAAAGTGCAAAGAGATATAACATCTCTTCGCAGCGCCAGTGAATCGAGCCGATCGGAAAGCACTCGGTCGTCGACGATTCGAGCCGCTCTGCGCTGGATGCGGTCAAGTGGAAGGAGCTGGTACTGGGGAGCCCCAGCCCAGAGATGGGAACAGTATTCCGTGTGCGCTCGAACCTGCGCCTTGTAAAGTTGCAGGCGGTGTGCCGGCATGAAATACTGTCCCGCTCTGCTGAGCACGCCAAGCTTTTTAGAGGCCAATTTGGCCTTCTCTTCCAAGTGACCACGAAACTGCACGTCACTCGATATGTTGACGCCGAGGATACCGATACTGGCTGAGGCAACAAGGGGAGTGCCTTGAAACTGAGGAGATACGACGAAGGGTTTTTTTAGCGGTAAATGCGCAAACTTATGTTTTCTGCGGATCAAACTGGACTAGATTTAAGAAAATAAAATATAAATTTCTTCGCAACTTTCCGCTAAATAAATATAATGATATGTCTTACCTGGATTAAAGAGCACCTCCCGCCCTCCCTCAATGCATGCACTAACTCCGTCACCACTAGTCCCAGCACTACTACTCCCAACACCACTATTCCAGGTAAGACACACCATCGACGACAATACGACACGTGTTTCGCCTCTACACGAGACATCCTCAGGTAATGTAGACTCTACGGCGGCTGACCGCTAAGATCTTAGATAAGGATTAGACGAAACACGTGTCGTATTGTCGTAGTACACACGCGTCGTATTGTCGTAGAGATCTTAGATCTTAGCGGTCAGCCGCCGTAGAGGCTCTACATTACCTGAGGATGCCTCGTGTAGAGGCGAAACACGTGTCGTATTTATTTATTTATTTAAGTACACCAACGATTGTTACAACAATTCAGAAATAGTAAACAGACATCCACTTATATACTAATTGTACAATCAATTAAAGGTATACACCACATGCTTCAAGATACTAAAAAGTTACCAAGTAAAAAACAAAAAAAAAATACAAAAACTTAGAATATAACAGAATAATATTATGAAGGTATATGAAACAATGACTTACACCTAGTTACTTAAATAGTGTATCTTTTACTGTGGCCTTAAACTTAACTAGAGACATAACATTAACATCTATTGACCCTCCGCACTTATTATATAGTTAGGAAATTCTGGAAACCGAAGAATTTGCTCCCAAAACTGTTCTGCGAAATGGACGAGAGAGAGTCGATGGGCTTACGAGGCATTCGTGACGGAACTTTAAAATTAAATAATATCAGGAGTGCAGGACAATGCAACTGATACCTTATTATCTTGAAAAAGAAGGATAAGTCAAGTATATCCCTGCGGTTGTCCAAGCTCTGCATCTTTAGAAACTCTAGTAGGTAGTCTAGTAAATCTTTTATGCCAGAAGTGTGAGAACACCAAGTGTTTTACTAATCGTTTTTGAATGCGTTCAATACGAAGTGTGTGGGTGCTACTCAATAATGTGGACGACAGACCACACTTCCATACTCAACGATCGATCTAACCAAGCTATTGTATAGCGCAATTTTTGAGGAATGGCGTTTGAATATTCTAGCTTTCATGATAATAAAACCCAACATCTTGGACGCCCTGCCTATGATGTAGTCAATATGTGGGACAAATGTCATTTTATTATCCATAAGCACCCCCAGATCCCTTACTACTGTCCTTTCTCCTAATTGAATCCCATTAATGCTGTAGATAGATGGAATAGGATTCAATATCCTAGTGAATTTAATGTGAACACATTTATTGATATTGAGCTCCATTCCATTCGTCTGACACCATTTCACTAGCGCGTCAAGATCTTTTTTGTAAATGCAAAACATCGTCTTTTGTTTCAATTACTTTCCACAGTTTTAGGTCATCTGCGAACATCGAAGGGGACGAGTATTTTATATAATTAGGTATACCGTTTACAAAGATATTGAAGAGAATAGAGCCTAGGTGTGAACCTTGTGGAACACCAGAAGTGATATCTCGTAGCTCTGAGCTAAAACCATTAACGACTACATAGAAAGAACGTTCACTTAGATACGATTCGAACCAAGTTAGAACAGAACCCCCTATTCCGTTTGCAGATAGTTTTGCCAGAAGCCATCGATGGACTACTCTATCAAAGGCTTTGCTGAAGTCTGTATATATTGCGTCTACTTGTTTATTGCCATCAATGCGACTTGCAATATCCTCCACATACGTAACCAGATTAGTATTAGTAGACCTACCTTTTGTGAAGCCGTGCTGATTGTCGTTTAAATACTTGTCTAAGTAGGCTTGAATAGGGCAGACTAGAGACTCGAATACTTTAGCTAATGAGGACAATATGGAAATAGGCCTGTAGTTGCTAATGATCTGAGCATCACCTGCCTTATAAATTGGCACCACTTTAGAAACCTTCCAAGCTTTGGGAAAAACCCCAGAACTTAATGAGTTATTAAAGATAATAAATAAAAGGTTCCACCAGGCATGATGCGCATCGTGAAATAAACAACGGTGAAATATTATCACTCCCAGTGCCCTTCGTTACATCATTATTGACAAATTTTTTGTAAATTTGCTTGCGGGAAAGATTTAGAGTTGAAAAACAATCGATTGCTCCCCCCACTGATGTACTAAAAATATACTCGTCAGTATTTATGTCACATGGGACACCAAGATTTGAGGTAGTAGAGAAGAAGTAAGATGCAAAGCTGTTGCATATGTCATTACCGTTTTGTATCACCGTATTACCATCCGTCATTGTAGCTGGATATGTTCCAGAGCCACCACGTTTGGTTTTAATATAAGAACAGAACAGTTTCGGATTCGTTAAAATTCCGTCCTCAATTTTACGAATGTATGCGTTGTAGCATTCAGAAGCTAATTTTTTGCAGCGGTCGGTCAGTAGACGATATGATATCCTGTCTAGGGGGTTGCTGTATTTTTTGTACCTTTGTTATTTACCTATAGTCGTCGATGGTGTGTCTTACCTGGAATAGTGGTGTTGGGAGTAGTGGTGCTGGGACTAGTGGTGATGGAGTTAGTGCATGCAATTGAGGGAGGGCGGGAGGTGCTCTTCAATCCAGGTGAGACACATCATTGTATTTATTTAGCGGAAGGTTGCGAAGAAATTTATATTTTTATTTTTTATTATAATGGATTTCCGCAAAGTAACGCCTGATTCTATCAATGGACTAGATTTAGTCGCCCCCAGTCCGAGACTTTGTTCAACAAAGTTTCGACTTCAGACACACAAGTTTGTCCCGCTACTCTGTGACGTTTTTCCGAGAAATATTGGCACGGCCGGTGTATAAAGCATCACCAGTGCTATAGTCTGCATAGTAGTGAACGTTACCGGTTTGCAACATGTCATTGATATGCAGAAGAAACAGTGTTGGTGATAGCACGCAGCCTTGTGGAACACCAGTGTAAATGGGCTTTCAAACGGAGCATACACCGTTTACTACGACCTTGATGCTCCGACCTGCAAAACTGGTGATCCAATTGCATAATTTCTCGGGAAGCCCATAGGAAGGAAGCTTCGAAAGAAGTGTTTATGCCAAACCCGATCGAAGGCCTTGGCTATGTCCAAACTAACGACCAACGCCTCCCTCTGGGACTCTACTGCCTTCGTCCATTTGTGTTAGGTAACCCAGAAGATCACCAGCCGAACGACCGCGACGGAAACCGTACTGGCAGTCACTAATCAGCTGATGATCCCCAAGGTACCGCATGAACTGGCTGTTAATAATGGATTCCATTATTTTAGAAAACAAGGAGGTGATGGCGATAGGCCTATAGTTGGACGGATCAGAGCGGTTACCTTTTTTAGGGATTGGGTACACGAATGCTGTCTTCCATGATTTCGGGACTACGCCTCGGGAGTAGAAGTACCGAAAAAGACGCGTTAAGACCGTTACCAACTCCGGAGCAGACGTCTTCAGGACAATAGGAGGGACGCCATCCTCATAACATATCTATAATTTTGTTTTGAAATTCATTTTTGGGCGCGTTTGATTAATGCGCCATAAATGTAACTTGGAATTACAGAGAACGAATTAAATAAGGTAAAAAAAATAAATACAATAGATAAAGTTTGTAATTTTGATCTCCGTGATCAAAAGATTTGCTTTATTCAGAAATCTTATGTTTTTATTCTAGGCGAGTACGCATTCACAGCTGCAGATGAAGCGCAAGATAAGGAAAAGAGGAAGATATTCCATCAGTTCTTAACTAACAGGAAAGCTGATCTTAATGTATGGATTCGCACATATAGGTATTCTTCTAACATATATTTTACATTCATTAATTGCTTTAGGATTTAAGAGTGAATTTAAGCAACTGATGATTAAAAAGTAAAAAGGGAGCTACATTTGAACAGTCTGGTTTTGCAGGTGAAAATGTGGTATAGAAAGTTGTCATATCTGATACAATACAAAGCTCATATTGGTTTTTACATTTTGTGAAAAAGAAAAAAAAGCCTATGATCTCCTACCACGCTGGGGCAAGGATGTTCAACCTTAGAGTAGACCATTATTCCGCTGTAAACCTGTGAAAGGTTGTAACAGTGATGATTATGATATCCCAGAAAATGTTCGCGCAGTAAGCCTTATTTGCGTAAATTAGGTAGGTAGTAGAAGACTTTTCTTCCTGGGAATCTGAGAGTCTGAGCGGGTACCATTCTCTTAGCAATTTACGCTGCCAAGTATATTTTTTCCAGTATAATATATATTTGAACATAGGCCTATGTTCAGCAGTAGACTTGTGAAGGGCTGTAATGATGATGATGATAATATATATTTGTTCCGGTGTGGGATTTAAAGTGAGCCAGTATAATTACTTGCTGTGAGGCGTCCCATCTTAGTACTCAGGGGTGGCAACGCATATTACATAGCCTTCTTCGTTTGAAGTGGTTTCATGCCCATGGACTGCAGTAGCTTCTTGCTATCAGGTGCACTGTAAGTTATTTTGTCCCTTAGTATTATAGAAAAAAATCGTCCTCTGTAAATGTCATTATAATAATTATTGAATATTGCCTTTTAATATGCATAATTTGTCATATTGCAACAAAACTTTATTAAATTTTAATAAAGTTATAATTTTTTTTTCATGCTTTTAGGGGCCACGTGACAACATTGATTCTTAAGCTGGCGTTACACCCTGAGGTATCGTTACAAATGTTGGCATTCCGACTCGACTACAGTGATTTTTACAAACGAGGTGACGCGAAACTGCACGAACCTCTCACATATCAACATAAGCGGCTTAGTGAGATTGGACTTAACTTGGCCAAGGTTAGTCAGCTTATCATTTTTATTTCTCAGGGATCGGTAATCGGGAACGGTATCATCAACATATTTTTCATCTTAATGTTGGTCCAAAGTAGTTGATGCCGGTAAATGCCCCTAGTTCCATCTAGAGTCGAGTAGCATAGCGAGGAGAGCTTTCTAGAAAATGCCTTGCTAAAACTTTCTACTTCTAGCGCCATCTAGTATCGAGTGGCAGAACTAGAAGAGAACTTTCTACTCTACTACTACTACTACTATATCTACTCTTTCTTTATCACTCTAACAGAAATGGGTATGCTTGACCAAAGAACCACATTCTGACAGAATATCAGCTTAAATTAGCTGGTGAATGCAGAGAACCGGAGACCCTTTTTTACTGGTAACGAGGCATTCTATCTTTATCCTCGGATGTGGCAAAGCAACTAAATTTAGATTTTTAATCGGGGATAGATGTAGGATGTTTATAAGAGATAGCTTCCACCTGCCTTTAGGTGGATTGTTTACTCATTTGTTACCCTTATCACAGAATAAATAATAGTACTACGTACAGAAGTTGCACTTCTTTGATGTTGACTGCTTGTCGACGTTTAAAAGCCTACATAATTATTATTAATTAGATTAATCGCGCACGAGTAACCACGGACTTTCCGTGGTTACTAAGGGATGTCAATAAAGAGTATAAAAATACATTGCTAAATTTTAATAAGTTACTTACGTGAAGTACTTATTCCGACTATGATCGACTGATCATATTTTCGCACCTATGTGAGTTCTGCGATACCCAACGCACGCAACTTGCAAGGTCATTCGGGTCAACTTCAAAGGGAATCGCGATGCTTGGCTCGGAAGAAACAGAAAATAAACCTCAAATACGATTTTCCTAACCGAAATGTGATCGTATTCTACTTAGTTAAAATCTAGTTAGTAGTTAATTTCACTATTTTGTGTTATTATAACTTAAAATATTTAAATTACAAAAGACAAGTATAGGTATGTAAGTATATATGGACAGTGAAGAAGACAAAAAACCTAATATAATGTTTTTTCTGCAGAGTGGAATAAGAACTTCAAGATTGTTATTCCTATTCTTAAATGAATCACATTGGTACATATTTTTATGTAAGTGGTGACGGTAAAAAAATCTTGTTTCTGTTACAGACTAAGCTAATAGAGCGTTCGAAGAAAAAGTGACAGGATATTTTTACGGAGTCAACAATTGCGAGTTACTGTACGCCGTGGTTAGACTTCGTATGTGTTCGGACCAATTAACTCGAATTTAATTAAATACTCACAGATTTTTACAATTTTTCACAGTTGCATGCAAAACATATTAACTTTTTTTTTTAATAATATCCAATGTATCAAGAATATTTTAATGTTGTTAATTCTATCCACGTTAAATAAATTGTTTCACAATCATATTGTAATAAAGTACTTTTTATCTATAAATATTTTTTTATTTTGTTTATTATACCCCATAATGCAATAACTCTGACTTTATGATTAGTTTTTAAAAATCATAATAAGGGTGGAACTGTGAAAAGAGATGAATGTGGTGTGTGAAACTTTAACTTTCGATCCACTTCGCTAAAGATGGATTTATAATTATTATACATTGTGATTTGTCTATTCTCGCTTGTTTTCTCTTTGCTCGTCTTGGCTTCGGTGGAAACACCACAGCTTTTCTCAACATATCCTTCTATAAAACTAAACATAATTATGTACTACTCTTAATGTAGTGATATTGGCTCGTAATGTGGTGGCTACTGTTTATAGTCTTGTTTTTAATACTGTGTACTTCACGCACACGTTCATATTTCTCAAGTCGCAAAGATTTCTGAGCCAACCAGATTGCCACGCGTTAGTTTGAAGTAGTTTAAATGTAACTGGAGAAACCGTTTACTGGAGAGTCCACCTCATCTTGCCCAAATCCTTATTGGCAATTAGCAATTCTTCCAAATTGTTTCTGATCTATGTTCTTCTAGCGTTGTCTACTGTTTCATATTTTACGAAATGTCCCTATATTCTCTCCATCCCTATTTCTATTTCTCTCACAAACTATCAATGTCCCGCCGGGACAGTTCAGGTTCCGAAAAAAAATGTGTTTGCCAACTCGCTTGCGTGGTGCGTGGTGCTATTGCAAAATCTAAAACCTATTAGGAGGCAATCTATGGGAGAGGCCTATATTCAGCTGTGGAATTTTATAGGCTATAATGTATGGATGAGTGGTTGGATGGATAACAAAACAATTGAATTAGATAAGGTCGGTTGTTTTTGAAGACGAAGTTAAAAGCAAGTCTTCCCCCCTCCCCCCACGACTTTAACCTTTTGAGCGCCACGCCAAAAACTCACTATCGTGTCCTGTACGCCAAAGCGAAAAGTAAACAAAAATACCTACGAAAAAAACAGTGCCGACAAGAGTTGATATATCGATAACACAAAATAACTGGTTTTTGTTGGTTTTTTATACAATAAATGGCTCTTTATAATCGGGTATGTGTTATTTAATCTTGTGCTGTCTTCCACTCTTTTTATATATGTACTTTGTATATAAATAAAAAACAAACAATAACAATATAATAGTAGTAAACCACAACACTACTCTCCATCGTGATGACGTCACTGTCACGACTGGACAACAACGGCGTAGCTGACCTTTCTTTTTGAAACTTTCTTAGAGATGTAGCCGTGTCGCACGTTGTGTATCGATTTCAAAATCGATCTAACCATAATATATAGACATCGATTTAAATTTATTTTATGGCGAGGCGTAGGCCAAGTGAATCACAGAAGAAAAGTCACGCTGTTTTGACAATGGGGGTTTCATATGATGCTGATGTTGCTAAATGATTTTGAGATTGAGAAAGAAAATCGCACAACACAAAATGAAAAATTGCTCTTCATACCTTAAGTAAAAAAAACACATTTATTATTTGTAATTTTATATTATTAGAATAAAAAAGGTACATAATTATTCACTAATCAACAATTGTATATAGGTAATTATTCGCACTAGGAAAATCAGTCTTATAATATTAAAATCTTGGTCATGGAATAAAAAATCAGTAATTATTATAAAAAATCAAAAATGGTACATAATTATACAATCAACAATTGTTAATTTTATAGGTCGTCTCAGTAATTATTAAAAAATCAACAAATGGTACATAATTATCCACCAATCAACAATTGTGTATAATTATTCACACTAGAAAAATCAGACTTATAATATTAAAATCGTGGTCTTAATGACTTATTACAGAAATCAATAAATGGTACATAATTATTCACTAATCAACAAATGTATATAATTATTAGCACTTAAAATCTTGGTCTTAACTCAATCAGTACTTAATATAGAAAACAACAATTAAAAATAATTAATAAATTATAGGTAATATTAGTATTCAAATAATAAAAATCTTATGGAATAATAAAACATAAATGTTTAGCTGGCCAAAGCAAATTTTTAACGTGGTAGAGCCATGCTGTAGTTATATTACGGGAGAGTAGTTGTAGCACGAATGGGTCGGCTCAACCGGGGAAGAACCACGCTCTCACGGAATACCGGCGTCAAATAGTAGCTTAATGCTGCTGTGTTTCGTATGGTAAGTGTAGAGAACCGGAGACCCTCTTTACTGGAAACGAGGCATTCCATCTAAGTCCTCACGGGTGAGAGCGCATCTGCATTTTGATTCGTAATCGAGGATAGTAATTTATATATATATATATATATATATATATATATATATATATATATATATCGAGTAATTTATATATATATATATATATATATATATATATATATATATATATATTTTGGAACGGTGGGAATGAAAGTGAACGCAAGTAAGACGAAAGTGATGGTTTTTGAAAGAGAAGAAAGCAAAACGGTATGTGAAATAAGAATAGAAGGAGAGTTAATTGAGCAAGTGGATGAGTTTGTGTATTTGGGATGTGTATTTAGCAGGGATGGTAGATATGATAGGGATATAGAACGACGAGTAAATGCAGGGAATAGAGTGAATGGGGCACTACACTCTATTATGAAGAACCAGAATGTGTCAAAAAAGGCACGTATGGTAATTCATAATGCTGCGTTAGTCCCTACTTTAATGTATGGTAGTGAAAGCTGGGTGTGGCAGAAGAAGCACGAAAGTATAATAAATGCTGTAGAAATGCGGTCTTTAAGGAGTATGCTAGGGTTGAATCTGAATGACAGGGTGAGAAATTGCATGATAAGAGATAAATGTGGTATGCAATATGATGTTGTGACCAGGATTAAGAAAGGAATGCTTCGGTGGTTTGGTCATGTAGAAAGAATGAATGAGGAAAGAGTGACAAAGCAAATTTATATGGCAGATGTGAACGGCCGAGTCGGGAAGGGACGCCCTAGAAAAAAGTTTATCGACCAAATTGGCGATATTTTGAAAAGGGACCACGTTAGAAGTACCCTTAACCGACGAGCATGTATGCGTAGATATATGGATGTAAAGGAGGCGAAAGAGGTATGTCAGGATCGTGCCAAATAGAAGTCCGTAGTCTCTGCCTACCCCTCTGGGTGAAAGGCGTGAGTGTTTATATTATATTCTTAATTCACAAAATTAAACGCTACCAATAGACCTACTAGTCAAAACTTAATACCATTAATGAATAATTTTAATTTTTTTTAAACATACATATTTTACTTTATAAATACGTATAATAAAAATATTTTAAAAATAATAGTATTTCCTTATAAGAAGTATATAGTTCGAAATCCTAATTTATTAGTCATCGAAAAATAATATCCAAAGTCATTTATTAGAGTATGGTCAGAAGTATTTTCTGTACGTTAAGTTCTAGCGTATCTATTTAACGTACAAAGTTTTTCTTTCTTTAAAATTGTTGAGGCGTTTCCTTAATAATTGCTTACTATGACTGATAAACGATTTATAATATGTGGATGTTCGAAATTCAACTCCAAATTTCTCGCAGTGCTCAAGAAAGGTAGGATAAAGATATTTCAGTTCTGCAAGATCCAACGTTGGAAAATAATGATGAAGTGCATGATATCCAAACCGTGTAAGTGATTTAAAATGGTTGTCATCGTACTCAACTCTCTCAACTAAAGTGTCCAATTGATGAAGACCCCAGTCATAATACATGTCTCTGTAAAAATACAATATTTTGATTAAAAAAATACAATTCACGAGAAAACTTGTCATGAAGAAAAATGTATGTAATTATTATCATTGTAGATTGTATGTGTGAGAAAACCTTTGATTACTGTAAGACGCGAAAGTGTTAGTATCAAAAAAAGAACGTCACCGCCGAGAACAAAAGAGCAATTTAGTACTAAGTCGACACGCTATTTTAGATCTTAATGTTTTACCATTACATTGATTTTTAGTCTACTCATAATACTATTCGAAACGATTATAATGCCGAAAGGTAGAAAGTCGATATACTATTTTGGACCTTAATGCTTTTTCATTAGGTTGGTTTATGATTTATGGTCTACTCACGGTACCTACTTTTCGGAAGGATTATTGTGAAATATGGTTTAAGATATTTATTTCGCTAAACAATATTACCATTAGCTTTTTGACAGAAAAAATATCTACTAGTTGCAGTATAAAAGTAAACGAACATGATGAGTTATTCTAAACTCGAAAACAAAAACATAAAAAATGTGCTCACAAGAGTCGCCCGGGAAACAGTTTCATTTTGTATCGAACTTATTATATTTAAAATTAAACAAAATATTATAAAATAATAGATACATAAAATAGGCAATATGCATGTTAGTAAAATAAGTTTAATTTATTAGGAACTTAAGACACTTACCTCACTTAAATCTTCAGGTAATGATTCAGATTCCGAAAATTCTTCATCGTCGACGCTTTCCAAAATCCGAATGAGTTCTGAGGAATCGTTCATGTTGCACTGCACCTGCACTAATTTTCCCGCTAATCGCTTATGACGTCATCAGCGTGTCGTCTATACTTGACCACGGCGCCCAGCCCGCCTAAGGGTATTAGTGTTCTGTGGCGCCCAGTGAACTGATTTTCGATGTCGCGCTAAGGATGCCCGATGAGTTGAGATATTAGGTAGATTTATTATGCGAAGATAATTTGATAATTTGATAATTTTTTTTATTCATGTAGCTAATTATAGTTTTATATTTCTAACCTTTTGTTTTATTTAAA